AGCCATCTGGCTCTGGAGTTCATGCCTTAAATTCCTCATCTCGACTGCTGTCTCTGCTGAGACCTGAAGAGTAAGTTTGAGCTTGTCACCAGAGTGTAGGTGTCTGGGGGTGGGGGTGGGATGGGCACGTGTGAAGGTGCCCGGGAGGTACCATGAAGAGGGAAGTTGCAGTTAGCTGCAACAGGTGCAGCTAAAGCGCCAACAACCCTTAGCTTCGCACCACCAAGAACTGACGCTCGTTTCCCTAATGCTGAGGAAAGTGGGTCAGGGGAGGAGGGCTGCCTGGGGTAGTGAGGGGGTTCCAGAAAATTCCTCTCAAAAGTAAAGTCTTCACCGACAACTCCAGGCGCTGGCAGGGATGTAGAGCCACAGGAAACCCTCACTCACTGCTGGTGGGGGTGCATACTGGTACAGGCACTTTGGAAGACAGTTTGGTGGTTTCTTACAACATACTCTTGCCATATGACCAGCAGTCACACAAAAACTTATGTCCACACAAAAATCTGCATGCAGGTGTTTATAGCTGCTTTATTGGAAGCAACCCAGATGTCCTTCAGTAGGTGAGTGATAAATAAACTGAGGTATGTCCAGACATAGAATATTATTCAGCACTACAAAGAAATGAGCTCTCGAGCCAGGAAAAGACATGGAGGGACTTTAAATGCATATTACTAAGTAGAAGCAAATCCAAAAGGGTTACATGCCATATGATTCCAATTATATCACATTCTGGAAAGGGTAAAACTATGGAGACATTAAAAAGTGGTTATAGTGTGGTCGTAGGGTCAAGGTAGTGGTGGTAAATAGACGAAACACAGAGGGTTTTTAGGGCAGTGAGTGAAACTACTCTGTCTGATACTGTCATGGTGGATACATGTCATTACACATTTGTCTAAACCCATAGAATGTACAACATCAAGAGTCAGCCCTAATGAAACCATGGCCTCTGTGTGATAACGATGTGCCCATGTAGGTTCATCAGGTGTAATGAATGTGCCCCTGTAGTGGGGGATGTGGATACTGGGGAAGCTGTGCATGAGTGGGAGGAAAGGGCAAATCTTTGAAAAAGAAAAATCTTTGTATCTTCCTCTCAATTTTGCTGTGAATCTAAAACTGTTCTAAAAAAATAAAGTCTATGGAAAAAAAGTAAGTCTTACCCAACTTTCTAACAATTATGTTTGGATTCAGCCTTTTTTTCGAAATGGAAATATGCCCTTGAAGGAGTTAGATCTGTGCTTGGACTTACACCCTGTTATGAGTATTTAAAAAAAAAAAATAAGAAAATCAAATGCTGGGGTCCAGCTCCAGCAGGTCCAGGGGTTCCCCATAGGTGCGGACGGAGTCGGCGAAGAAGGAATGACACGGAGGCAGCGTTCGGGTGATCATCATAGCCAGGTTCCTCTAGCCAAGTTCTGGTCAGGATCTCCAGCAAAGTTCTGGTTAGGATCTCCAGCCAGCCAGGTTCTGTGGCCATGTTCTCTCGCTAGGTTCTCCAGCCAGGTTCGGTCGCCAGGTTCTGTAGCCGGGTTCTCTTGCCACTTTCTGTA